GGGGGGGGGGGGGGGGGGGCCTGGACAAATGTTGGAGCCCAGAGGGGGCAGCGCCTAGAGAGGGACCTGGAGACAGAGCCTGAGGGCAAGGCCTGGAGGCTTGGGAGCTGGAGAGTCTAGTGACGGTCTAGTCTAGTCCATAAGAGAACGGGGCCTGAGCCTGGTGAGAGGGTGGGAGGGAGGCTCACCTACCCCCTCCGCTTCCACTTTCCCGTTGGGCAGGGACATCAAACCCGACAACATCCTGCTCGACCGCTGCGGCCACATCCGCTTGGCCGACTTCGGTTCCTGCCTCAAGTTGCGGGCTGACGGAATGGTGAGCGGTGCGCCCGCCGGTGCCACCAATGAGGGCTGGGGTGGGGGGCGGATGCGCTGACGCGCGTTGGCAGAGCCAGGATAGAGGCGGCCTGGATTTGGGGGACGGAGGAGGAGGAGGAGGCTACTCGGGCTGGGCTGGCTCAGAGTTAGGACAGGCAGGGGGCGGGGCCATGTGCTGGGGCGTGGTTAGAAGGAGGCGGGGCCAGGGCTCAGAGGGGCGGGGCTGAGCCCAACTCCGATTCTGTTGACTCAGGTTCGGTCGCTGGTGGCTGTGGGCACCCCCGACTACTTGTCCCCCGAGATCTTGCAGGCCGTGGGCGGCGGGCCGGGGACGGGCAGCTACGGCCCCGAGTGTGACTGGTGGGCCCTGGGCGTGTTCGCCTATGAGATGTTCTACGGGCAGACGCCCTTCTACGCCGACTCCACGGCCGAGACCTACGGCAAGATCGTGCACTACAAGGTGAGCGGAGCCCCCGGAGCCCCGATCCCTCTGCGCCTGCGCCCAGGCTGACATCCCCGCCCTCCCGCCCCCTGGGAGCAGGAGCACCTTTCCCTACCGCTGGCGGATGCAGGAGTCCCCGAGGAGGCCCGCGACCTCATCCAGCGGCTGCTGTGTCCCCCGGAGACGCGGTTGGGCCGGAATGGAGCAGGCGATTTCCAGAAGCATCCTTTCTTCTTCGGCCTCGATTGGGATGGTCTCCGAGACAGCGTGCCTCCGTTTACTCCGGATTTTGAGGGTGCCACCGACACGTGCAACTTCGATGTGGTGGAAGACGGGCTCACTGCCATGGTGAGCGGGGGCGGGGTAGGTACCTGCGACCCCCGCTCCCCTCATCCCTTCTCCATTAAGTTCGGGCAACGATAGTGCCGGCCTCCTGGGGGCCTGACATCATTTCTTCCCGTGAACAACTGCTCTGTGCCTGTCCAGGGCTGGGAACCCAGCGGTGGCCGAGACTCGCAGTCCAATGGGGGACACAGACTTGTCCCCAGACGATGACACCCCAGAGCAATCAGGGCCGGGGTGAAGGAGGACAGGGGTAGGGCCTCCTGGAGAAGGGCACTATCGGAGCCGGGCCGGGAAGGATGAGGCGGAAGGCAGGAAAGCACCACAGAAAATCTCCCTCCCTGAGGCCGCCGCCCTCTCGAGTTACACAAGCTGCCTTGGCGCTTGGTCAGCCGGGTGCCCTGTGCTGGGCACTGCCCTGGTCCCGCTGCCACTTCCGTTTGGAGAAGTAGATACTGATACTGTGGCGAGCACCTTGAGGGAAACAGGACACCATGAATGACGGAGGGACACTTTATATAGGCCCTAAGTAAGGGTGGGTTTGGGGGGAAATTTAAGTTAAGACGTAAGGGGTGAGGGGCCAGCCTCCTGTCTGATTCTCTTGTATTAGGAGACGCTGTCAGACATGCGGGAAGGCATGCCGCTGGGGGTCCACCTGCCTTTTGTGGGCTACTCCTACTCCTGCATGGCCCTCAGGTAAGAGCTGCCCCTGTGGCTTGTGAGGAGGCTGGGGGTGCAGGAGGCTGCGCAGGTTACAGTATCCGGGCCCATCAGCGCCCAGTAGAATTGCAGGATCAGTCTTGGAACCTTACTGACTTGGGACCAAGGGCTCTTAGGAACCCAGAGCTGTAGGGCCTTAAATCTCAGACCACAGTACTTTGAAATGTTAAGATTCAATGGTAAAGCCTCAGAGCCACTTTTAGATTTCTAGTACAGAGTCATGGGACCTCAGAATCCTAGAAAGCAAAATGTTTAGAATTTTAAAACCAATCTTAGAACAACACAAATTCAACGAATCACTCACATAAAGCCTTTTTAAAACATTAATTCTAGCCCTTGCCGGGTGGCTCAGTTGGTTAGTGCTGCCCCGATATACCTAGGTTGTGGGTTCAATCCCTGGTCAGTGCTCATACAAGAATCAACCAATGACAGCATAAATAAGTGGAACAACAAATGGATGTTTCTCTCTCTATCTTTGCTCTAAAATCAATAAATAAATAAAAAATAAAACAGGAAGCCCACTAAGAATATATTGCTTGGCATTAGTAAATTATAATATGTGGATAAGAAAAAGGAAGCCCATCATCAGGGATGGCCCCTGGCTCATGGGTACACACACATTTTTTTTTTGAAAAATATATTTTATTGATTTTTTACAGAGAGGAAGGGAGAGAGATAGAGAGTTAGAAACATCGATCAGCTGCCTCCTGCACACCTCCCACTGGGGATGTGCCCGCAACCAAGGTACATGCCCTTGACCGGAATCGAACCTGGGACCTTTCAGTCCGCAGGCCGACGCTCTATCCACTGAGCCAAACCGGTTACAGCAGTACACACACATTTTTAACAACCCCGAGAACCTGCTGCATTCTACCCTGTTTTGTTACCCAACAATGTATTACCAACACCATTGGTTATGAATGAACTACAAGCTGATCCTGACCCGCTGTGTATACTCTCCTTATTGGGCAGGGCAGGACTCAGTTAGCCTGTCCTCGGCCCTCAGCCAGGCCGCATGAAGCACAGGCTGGTCCAGGTGCATGTGCCAATGGTTAGGTCCCTGAACACAGTTCCACGAGGGGCTGCTGGACTGGGAGGAACACCTGCTTTTACTGCCACTTAGTATGTGGGGAGCGTCTGTGTCCCGCCCAGTAGCTGGGCGTGGGGGCGTGTGCTGATGTCTAGAGTCACAGTCTTGGGATCCACACACAGTCCTAAGGCTCTGCCTTTGGAGGTGGGCAGTGTTCCACCCAGTGGGTCGCCTCACTGTCCTGAGGCCCTAAGGAGAGGGGTCTGCAAAGGGCACATGGAGAGGGAGGAGATGAGTGGGCCCTAGGACATGGGTGTTGTTCCCCGAGTTCCCACAGAAGGTGCAGAGGGCAGCTCCCAGGGGCCCGAGGCCATGCAAAGGGCAGCCTTTTTCCTTTCCAAGAGGAAGACCTGTCACACCAATTTAGCAACTTGTTCCCTTCACTCTGCCCCCCACCCCTCCTCAAACCACGGGTCTTTGGATCTAGCTGCCCCATGACCAGAGGTTAGGGAGTCCTGGCTCTCTCCCCCTTGCCCTCTCCCTCTCCCCAGGGACGATGAAGTCCAGGGCCCCATGCCCATGGAACTGGAGGCCGAGCCATTGCCTGAGCCACCTGTGCAAGTGCCCAGCCTGGAGCCCAGGGTGCCCCCACCGGAGGAAAAGGTGAGTTGTTGGAGGAAAGGCAAAGATTTCCAGGGTAGCGCGTGCCATGGAGCACTAAGCCCTCTGAGAGCTGACTCACAGAGACGGAAAATGTGTTACTTCCATCAGAGACGACCAGAGGGCATTGAGTGTGTGTGCGGGGAAGCCCTGCAGAAGGAGGGGGACCACCCATGGGAAGGAAAGTGCCCACTGGTTAGCAGAGAAGAGCTTCAGGGCAAAGGCCCTGAGGTGGGAACCAGCTGGTTTGTTCCTGACCCTGAAAGGAGGGTATTGAAGCTGAACTGTTCCAGCGGAAAGGGGGTGAAGAGTGAGGGGAGGGAGGCTGCAGAAGTCAAACCAAACCAAACCAAACCGGGCCTTCTGGTGCAGCAGGCCTTCTCCTGCCGGCCCTGAGGAGCTGGAGAAGTTCTGAGCAAGGCTGCAACGTGGTCAAGTTGAGTTAGTGTTTTAGGAACAACCCTTTGGTTCCTGTAAGGAGGTGGATGGAAGTGGAGCCCATGAAAGGCTGGAGACCAGGGTGGGAGGTGCGTTAGGGAAGGAGGGTGCCTGGATCATTGCAGGAACTGTGGGGATTCCAGAAAGATCTGGGAGTGTAGAAGGCAAGAGAGGATCCCAGGCCTGGAACCTATGCCCCAGTCTCGAGTGCCCCAGGAGCCACAGGCAGCCCTAAGCCCAGTCCCTATGTGCAGGCTGAAGTGGCAGTTCCAGTGGCAATCCCAGCGGATGTGGCAGAGGCCGAGGTGACCTTGCAGGAGCTCCAGGAGGCCCTGGAGGAAGAGATGCTTACGCGGGAGAGCCTGAGCAGGGAGCTGGAGGCCATCCGCACGGCCAACCAGAACTTCGCCAGGTCGGGGTCAGGGCACAGGGGCCTGTCGCTACCTTTAGCAGCCTCTCCCAGAGACCCCACAGGGCTCACGGTCCTTACCTCCCCTCAGTCAACTCCGCGAGGCTGATGCCAGGAACCGAGACCTAGAGGCGCACATCCAGCAGCTGCAAGAGCGGATGGAGGGGCTGCAGGCGCAGGGTGCGGCCGGTGAGTCCCTCATCCATCCCCTTTCCCCAGGGCACCAGGGGAGGAGGGCTCGCCAGCGTGTGTGGACACCTGGGGGAGGGAGAGTGGCCCAGGCTGAGGCACACCGCGCCACTGTCCTCCTCCGTCACTGCACGCACCCTACACCTCTCTCTTCTCCTTCCAGCTGTCACGGGGGTCCCCAGTCCCCGGGCCACGGATCCACCTTCCCATGTAAGACCCCTCTTTTTCCCCTGCGTCAAGCCTGCTGCCCCCTCTTGCAGACCCTGTCCCCGTCTTCCCGTCCAGATTTAGGGCTCACCTACTCCTTTGGGGTTCCAGGCAACAGAATCTTCCATTCAGCCCCATATCCACCAGATCTCCCACGGTTCAGGCCTCTCACCAAATCCCGTCCGGGAGCTCCCTCGATCCCCTCCCCGACCTCGGTTCCCTGTCTCTCGCCCCCCACCGAGGCGGCCGGGCTCCGATTGGGTCACCTGTCCCTTCTCTCTCCAGCTAGATGGCCCCCCGGCCGTGGCTCTGGGCCAGTGCCCGCTGGTGGGGCCAGGCCCCATGCACCGCCGCCACCTGCTGCTCCCT